GTGGTCCCGAGCACAGGTATAAACATGGTGCCTGGGAGCAATAAGCTCCAGTATATGTGCAGCAGTGTATTGCTTTGCATTAATATGCACATGCAGATGCGTACTCTGCCTACTTAATATTTTCCCTTGATAACACAATAAGAAGATGCTGTCAAGAACTCCCATTCTATTCACCTTTGTGTTTAATGGGAAATACCAGCACTCCTTCTAGGCTGAGAACGGCTGATACACTCAGCTAGTCATTGACCTATCAGTTCCTCTAACTTTGAGTAACTATCTTCAAAACCAGTAAGTAAATATCTATGTGTTAGGGATCCTCCCATTATTCAGCCTGGTAGTATTTCACTGTGCCCTGCCTCCTTAGTCCAAGGTGATAGGAAACTGCCAGGACAACTCCCCAGCCATATGGAGAAATTTTTGTTGATAGTTTTTCTCTAGAATAGCTAAAAGGTAGCCTGCAGGTGTATGAGGACTGTATACATGTTCTTCATTTACAGCCCATAACAAATGAACAGGTGACTTATGCAGGTCAAACTGCAAAACATTAATGTTTGTGTGTCATCCATTCACTGGAAAGAGGCTGTTTGCTTTCAAAACCAAAAGCATGCTGAGATGTTTGGTGTAGCAAACATCTCCCACCAGCGAGGGCAGGGGATCCCTGCAGCTACTCTGCATTTTTCCTTCGAAGCCTAGTTTTTGTGATTTGAGCTTCAAATAGCCTTAGCCTACTTCCAGCAGATTGTTTGGCTGCAGCTAGCAACTGCCACTACCGAATTGCCAGAGCCCATGAATACATATTCAGATGCTTCATGAGGCTCTGTGCACCTCTGTTGCAGCTGTGCAGGCAGGAAAAGCATCTACACATACCATCTCCCAGGCACTAAGCTATGACAGAACTATCTCCCCATTCTGCAGAAGTGGGGTACCTCTGCCAGCAAAGTGGCTCAAAATTTCAAGGATAGTTACTTTTGCATCTACAGGAGATACTAGCATTAGATAATAGCTATCCCTGTTAGATGGGGAATGTTAGAGAAAAATGTCTCCCGAAAATAGAAACATTAAAGCAATCGTTTGAACTGGAGCCTTTTTCATAGTTTCGTACTTTCATAACAGTTGGTAGGGTCAGAAGGGACCTGAGATCACCAAGTCTGACCCCCTGCCATGGGC